CCCCCCCCAAAAGCAAACAAACTAATTATTCTCTACTTATATGTGCTCAAGAGTAAAGATCCTAATTGAGATTTCTTTCGATAATGTGTGAGTAATATTTGTTTGCTGTTAATCAGTATGTACCTATGTTAATTGTTTTCTGTTACAGAATCTATGTCAGAAGAGAAAAGAATCAATGCAGATACTCAGCAAAATAATACATCCATGATACACTGTGAGACTAGTGATTTGTTAATAGTTTCCACAGGTTATTCAAGTGATATTACTGAAAATATTGTGAATGAAGAAAATGCAAAAAGCAAACATTCACATACAAATGAAACCACTTCTGAATTCACGCTCATTGATGCTCGTGAGTCATTCTCCTTGTTAAGCGGTATTTATGCTATTTTATAATGAGTTATTAAACACGTGCTATCTTTTGCAGTTATCATTATGTTACTGTAACTATGCTTTTTGTTTTATAGAATCTGTTTTAGAGAAGAAAAAGGCCTTTTTAGACTCTCAGCAAGATAATCAATTCACGTCACAATACAATAATACTGATTTGTTAACAGCTATCACAGATTATTCAAATGAAATTACTGAAAATATTTTAAATAACAGAAATGCAGAAAAGAATCATTCATGTGAAAATTTAACCACATCTTTATTACCAGTTTCTGATGCTCGTAAGTCATGCTTCTTCTTATCTGTTATTTACATACTTTTATAACCAGTAATTAAATCATGTAAACAAGGGTTACTTTTACCTCTTTAATTTCATTACACCATTTATACGAGACTGTTAATGGCAATAAAACCTTTTCTATGTCTTATTTGAGGCTTCAACAAGTAAAATGGAATGTAAATCTTATTTGTCACTGAAAATGATAAATTTTCTTTCTATGAAAGGTGTTTGACAATAACTGGATGTCAAAGTTACCTGGCAGTTGGTGATACTTTGACCTGAACTTTAAATATATCATGAGATCAATTTTAAGCATTTAATAAGTAAACTTTGACCTATGGAAATTAATGTATAATAATACTTACAGTATAAATTGACAGAAATAAAACATATTTAATATTACAAAAAAAGATACTACAATATCAAGTGCTCAATAACAAGGTATACACAACATAAGGCTGGGGATGGAGACTAGAAGCTGAACCACAAAGATAGCAGACATCCTTGTTTTTGTAGACATTTTTATGTGTTCTGCATATTTACATTTCTTTATATGAGGGTCATATTTTATATTTGCGAATGGTCTTCGCTGACTGGGTGACGCCACGTCAAAGGCTGTGGTGCCAACGTTTCAACCCTTTCGTTGTTGTCTTCCTCAGGTCTGGTCTCTGTCTCTGGTCTGCCATATGTTTTCATAGTTTACACGAGCCACATTAAATAGTGTTCCTTTACGAATAGTTCTATAGTTTTTGCTTTTTTGGTTATTGATAACTTGCCCCTTCTTATATATGCTAATGCTTTCTACAATTTTTTTTCATTGCAGGGATTGTATCCTCTTGAACCAGGTTTCCCTTTGTGCTTCATTGTGATTAGAAATAACATAACTTGTAAAATGTTCAAAAACTGATATTTAATTAAGGTTTATTTTTTGACTAAGGACAGGTTGATCAGCTTCTGTAACTTTGACTCTCTGGACAAAGTATCCCCTATTCTCATAACAAGAAGCATGTAAAGAACTTCTCTGAAGTAATAGTAAATATTTGAATGCCATTCAAAATTCAATATATATTTTAAAGAACAATCATTATACTAACATACTTACAATGTAATACTGTAGTAGACCCTATATTAGCTTTGGAATATGATATAAGAAGCAATTTTTCGTTTCTTGGCAGTAAATGAACATGCAGACTCAATACACAGTTAGGCTGTTCACACTGAAATAAAAATATTCTGTAGGTTACCAGAGACCTCTGGGGGTAATCTAAGGAAATACCTGTTAGAAAGCTTCTCAGCACAATCTAATATTGTTCTCAATAAAGAGCAGTGAATGTGTTTTGATGTTTCTGGTCAAAGTATCCCTGTCAGTCAAAGTAACCCTGGGTTACAACAGTATTTTTTTATTTTCTTAATTTTTTTTTGAATAATGAATAATGTAGTTATGCTCATTGTTTTGTTGGAACACGTTTCAGAAGATAAAAGGACCCATACAGATACCCAAGAAAATAATAGACCTGTAATACAATGTGCCAAAGATCTATTAACAGTTCTCACAGATTATTCAAATGAAAGTACTGAGAATATTGTGAATAAAGAAAATGCAGAAATGGAAAATTCACATGATAATTTAACCACTTCTTTATTAATACATAGTGATGCTCGTAAGACAATCTCCTCATTACAAATTATTTACGCAATTATAAAACATGTAATTAAGTAGAATAATTTTACAATTTATAAGGAATGTATCTCTGTTAATGGTTTGTTATGAAACTGTTTCAGAAGACAAAAGGACTAATGTAGATAGTCAGCAAAGTAACAAATCCATGGTACTACATAAAGAGGGAAAGGCAAATAGGAATCAATTACATGAAAATTTAACTGCTTCTTTATTACCATTTACTGATGCTCGTAAGCCATGCTACTCATTAGGTTATATGTACCCAATTTTTTTAAAAATAAAAAAAAATCTCTCACAGTTTATCAGTACTTAAATTAGTTGTTTTGTTACAGAACCGACTTCAAAGGAGAAATGGACCAATCCAAGTGCTAAGAATAATGATTCTTCCATAGTACAAGTTGACAATAATAGTGACTCTTTGATAGAAGTGTCAGATTCCTCAGAGGGAATTACGCATTCACAGTGCAATTTAACTACTTTCAGTTTTCCAGGAAAACACATCACCGACCAGAGGGGAAGAAATGTAATTTCAAATAATGAAGTTAATCAATGTCCCTTTGCAAAAGAAGCCAATGCTAAATGTAATGAAACTGGAAAGGAACTGATACAAGTTGCTGATGTAAATAAGCAGTATTTCAATGTCACATCAGAAAGAGAACAGTTTAAATTAGATAAAGGGTCTGATGGAAGATCTGAAAAATATACAAATAATTACCAAAAGAAAAAGAAGAAAAAAAATAAACACAAGAAATATGAGAAAAGAAAACAAAAATCACTTCAGCAAAAATTAATGGATACCACACACTCTACAAATTCTGTCTCTTTAAAATGTTCCAGAAAAGCACCTATAATTATTCGAATTGCCAGAATAAAAGAAAATGATGAAAATGTAGAAAGATATTACATCAAAAACCTAAATGGAGCTGAAAATACTGAACAGCAAGCTCTGACAGAAGATGGTAGTACATCATCAGTGGATATTGAAGAGAGCAATGAAACCCAAAGTGAAGAGAATCTGAGTAGTGCCAGTAATTTTGAAATAAATATTAATGATTTAGTAGAAAAAAACATGGGATGTGCCCTCACTGAAGTGGATAAGTCATTATTGGAATATGAAATTAGCAACAACAATGAGATCATGAATGAAACCAATGGTACTGAAGGAAATTTTGAAATTGCAAAAAATAAAAAATCAATGGGGGACAAAGATCTGACTTTATCCAATGCATTTTCATCATTAACAGAAGTTCTGTCAAGCAACGATGAGAAGCCAGTTGATGCCAAAAGCCCACAAGTAAGTGGAAAATTTAGTGTAGAACATGAACAAATTAACACATGTTTTAAGAATGGTGAAGATAATATTCCGCGTGAAGCAAGTAAGTCATTAACAAAATTTCCAGAACATGGCAATGAAGAGACATTTGACATATTGAATTGTCCTGAAGAAAATGTAACCAGTATATCAAATCAGAAAATAGTAGATAATGAAGATTATGTTATTAATGGCTTCCAAAATTCATTTAGGGAATTTATAGAAAGAAATAACACTAGTTGTATTCCACAAAATAACATAAACATTGTAGGAGAAATACAGGATAATAAATATTTCATTCTGACTGAAACACCTATGACATTGATGAAATTTCACAAGAGGGAGAGTGAAAACAGACTGAATACCAAAAGAGACGTGGAAAATGAGAAAATTTCGTTAGAAGAAGAAAAAATGTCAAGTAAAACGCATTCTTCATTAATGGAGTGTCAGTCAAGTATTAATAAGAAGATGAAGGATATGAGAAGTTCCTCAGAAAATGTGCAAATGTCCACAGTTCATGAATCAAATAGTCATGGAAATAAAGAGCATTGTAAAACTCATACATTATTACCGGAGTTTCAAGAAAGCAATAGTGAAAAGACACAAAAAAATGGTAGCAGTTCAAAAGCAAATTTAAGTACTGACCAAACTGAGGATGGTGAAAATTCTTCTATGTATGAAGCATTTCAGCCGGAAAGTATTGGTGAAAAGACACTAAATGACTCCCGAAAAAACAACCATGGAACAGAAGAAAAAATAACAGATAGTAAAGATTGTGTTGGTACATCAGCATCATTAATGAAGTCTCAAGAAAGTGTATTGAACAATCCTCCAGAGAATATATCAACCGATGATGAAAAGAATCAACCTTGTGCAAAGTTTATGAGTATGTTTAAAGAATGTTCTGATTTTACCTCAAGGAATCACCAAAAGAAATCTAATTTTTATCATTCTCTCAAAATTGGGAAGTCATTGATTGATTACAATGTATTGAATACAGAAAGTTTACAGAAAGCAGTACAAAATTTTCTGCCAACAATAATTGAATGTAAATCTTCACTATTGAGTCAACATTCACCTGAGTTTAAAAATGGCTTTGAATCAAAAAGTATAATAAATGAAAAAACTATTTTAAAGAAAATTTACCCTCAAGTTCTTGAGAATGAGAGCATAGAATTTCCATTGTCAGATCAATGTCTAGGTAAAAGTACAATAATGATTCAGCCTAGCAAAGTTGAAAATAAATTTGATCTTAAGAATTATGATAATAATGCTATTAACAGAAGTAAAAATAGAAATATTTTTACTTTAAATATTGATGATCATCCAATCATCCAATCAAATATTGTTGATAACTCAATTGAAACTGTAATTCAAAAGAATTCTGAGAAAACGCTTAAGAATTCTCATGAATGCAATGCACTGAGCTTAAAATATGATGGGAAGATTGAAAATGTAGTAACCCAAGCTATACAAAGGGAACAAAGTAGCCAGGAATGCAATTTTCCCTTTGATAAAGTTAAAGAATTTTCAATAAAATGCAGTTTATCTTCTTTTAAGGACACTTTGAAATTATTTGGAGAGCGTGAAGGTCTTTTCAATTTGCCCACAGGATCTTTGAATATTGATCACCAGGGAAAAGTATCAGAGGGATTAGAAAATCCATCTTCAGTAACAGAATCTGCTAGTAGTTCTAGGAGCACATCATGTGTTTCTCTTTCCTCAAAATCATTTGATCCAGAGCATGCACAATCTAACAACTTTTCCTCCATGCTACAATATTTTCTTCAGAGATTAAGCCAATTATTTGATGGAAAAACAATTATCCCAATCCAAGATAATAGTGCTCTAGTATCTAGCAACATTCCTCATGTACTAATTAACAAAAATGATAATTCAGGCATGAATATAACTTTATCTCATTATGAAGAAGGAAACCAAATTTTGGTTAAACTGGAAATAAAAAATGATCATAATGATGATAACAATATTATTATGATTCAAAAATGTGAATTACCTGAGGGACTTTTGAGTAAATTTTCTTGTTTATCTTCACAAGCTTGTTTAAATACAAAAATAGACCTACTACCATCACCTTCAAATGGCATGGATATGGAAAGTATGCATAATATTTTTAAAACTCTCATCTCACAGTTGTTTATCAAAGATAGTTTCTTGAATGATAACAAGCCATCTGATCTTCCTTCAACTTCTAGTGCAAGTACTTCATCTTTTATTAATTCAATACCTGAGGTGCTTGTGAAAAATGATTCAGAAATAGAAATACCTGGAGAAAGTGAGAGTAGTAATAAAAAATGTGAATTACAAGAAAGTCTTGCAATGGAAGGAAGCTCGTATGTTGGAAACACAACTATTGAGAGTCTCTGCACAAATCTGAACTCTGGCAATGAAGAGTCCTCTTCAATTGAAAATTTAAAAGAATCAATAATAGGAAGCACTGCTACAATGCCGAAAGATGAGAATCAGTTATATGGAGAATTAATTGATAATGAAAATATAAGGTGTCAATTATCATCACAATTAGAGCCTCAAACTAAAATTATAAAACAACTTGCAATTGATGAGAATAATTTACTTCCAATTCAGTCTCCTAATAGTAGTCTAGAAGTAGTTGGAATTAAATGCATAAATCATGAATCTGAAATTGAGAAGACTGATAATTCAGAAATTAAGAAGGATTGCAAAGAGTTAGAAACAAATAGCCATGATACATCTTTATACAATGTGAGAATTTGTTGTACTAGAAAACGCTCTTCCAGTTGTTCATTACTTGCTAATGATGGTAAAGCTGTAACCAGGAAACTAAGAAAACGAAACACAGAAAGAAATATATTCACCAGAAGATGCACATTAGAATGTTGTTCTTGGATAGATAAAAGGGAAGATATAACTAAGAAACCTACCTATGTCAAAAATTCTAAAATTAATTTTGTAAAAGCTCTCTTGTCTTCAAAGAGAAGAATATTAAATCCTAAATTGTGCAAACCTAACAGGCACAATGCAAAGGACTTAAATGTCTGTTCACTTGTAAATGCAAATGAAATGTACTCATTGGTTAGAGAAAATAAAACAAGTGAAGAGAAAAGAACTAGAATATTAACCAAAAAGAAAACTTGTTGTTTTTTGTGTGATCATCCTAAAACATCTGTATGTAATACTGTCGAATTTTCTGTGCCTGGGAAGAATTCTTTTTGTAAAAATTTAAACTATAAGAAAGAAGATTCGATTACATCCAACAAGGGCAAAACTCTTCAGACAACCAAAGATGAATTAACCAATGTTCAAGGTACAAGAAAAATCTCAGCTAAAATGAGAAGAACTAAAGGGGACAAAGCAAAACAAATCATGATTTATGCTTTGGATGCTTCATTACAAGCTAACACCAACAAAGGTTCAAGGATTGAGAACAAAATGACCTGCATCAATTTGCACAGCAAGAAAAGAAAATGCAAAGCAATGTTGCAGGATTCTACAAGCTTTGAATTTGAACAAACTTTGATTAATGAACCAGGAACTTTCTTGAGAAGACAAAAAACTAACGATAATTCATGTAGAAATTTTGATTATTCAAAAAAGTTGAAAAGGGAAATGATTACAAATTCAATACCTGCATCTACACAATCAGTGCCTTCTCTCCTTGATATTTCCAGACCAAGATTAATTGACTATTGCACTAGAAAAAGGAAGTCACGTGATACTGAACTAAAAGAGAATTGTGCTATAAAAGTGTGTAGACTGGAATTAAAACCAGGGTGTTGTCTTCAGGGAAAAGAAGAGTCTTACATAGTTACAGAAATGACCTCTTCTTTGTCAGTGAAAGTTACAAAATCTGATGGTGGAATAAATTTGAACTCTGAACCAGTTCAGAATCATGAAAGTGCTTCTAATGCACACGCTAATGAGATCCTCAAGAAAAATGTAAATGATGTTATTATTCCTGCCAATAATTCTGCAATTAAGGAAGAAAATGTTTTATCTCAGTTGACTCTCAGAGGCAAAAAAAATGATGTCTCATCAAGTATTGCAAATCCAGAAGAAGGCTTCAAGACCTGGTATGTACCCAGCTCTTGTCATTTGTTTTTGAAAAGAGATATGTTTTAATATAAAATACCTATTTAATTTTTGGTCTTTTAGTTTACATATACTAACACAGTAGTTTATTGAAGAGCTGGATGATAGTGTCTTTCATGATAATTAGATTTTAAGGCTTTGATTTCAACTTCTTTCAACAATTATAAAATACACACTTGGCCAATTTACATTGATTGCTTTGACTTTAATTCTTTAGTGTAATATGCTTTTATGTTTTCTGTTAGTGGGAAAAAATCAACAAAAACAATAAGTAAAAGAAACCTAAGAAATCACATCTCGGATTTCATATTATGACAAATTCTCAGGGATCATTCTGATCAATCTGAAATTGAGTGGAAGCATATATCAAATTTAGTGAATGTTCCCTCTCATTCTAGTTTCAAAACGAATAACATGGGGGAAATTGTATGTTCCATGGTATGTATATTGTGAATTATTTTTTATTGAAGCATGCATTACCAGTATATTGAAATACAAACAAAAAAATATTGTCAAGAGAGTAGTATAAGAATAACATCAATTTACCTTTTTATTTTCAGAAGAATAAAGTTAGATTTGAAGATCCTGAATTCATATCAACATTGTGTGTAATGCATCCCAGAATGAGATTGATCCCCCAAAAAATTGTATGTACCTTTAGTCTTAACTTCTTAATAGTGCCAAAACAATGCAATGGATTTTTAATATCTTTTTGCCTGATAATGAGTCTACTAATTGAGAGGTACCTGCTATTCAAGTTAGTAAACCTATCAGGCAAATTTGTGAACTGTAATTAATTTAAAATATCTATTTCCAATTTGATCTTCAAGAAATTATGTGAAAAATGTGTACATACTTGTGTAATAAATAGCAGTTTAGTAGTTCTCAAGCCTTACTTTCTGATCAGCAACAACTAACCTACAACCCCAATGGTACAAAGTGTTAATAATTGTTAATAAATGCGAAAGTAGCTTCTCTGTTTTAATAGGTAATTATTAAAAACAAAATGTTAAATTTGTCAGAGTGTGAAAAATATTAGTGCATTTATCACTGTAAATGGTTTTCCGTGTTTGATTATCATTGGCTGAATTGAAGTTTAATTTTGGTATCAATGGCAAATCCAGGCACAGGAGCATTACCTCCCTCCACACTTCATATTTTACTCTTCAGTAACCACATTAATCACATATCCCAAAAAAAATTCCCATTATGAATGTATTTTTTAAATATTAAGTTAACTATTAAAATTGTTATTAAGCTACTTCAAAAATAATTAATCAACCTTCTCTCTCTTTTTTTTCTTCTTTTTTTTTTCTTTTTTTCCCCCCCTTCTCTCCCAATTCTCAAGATATATTTTTGAAGATGTTATGACCTACAATTACTCCACTTGCATATTTCAGTTCAGTGCTGTTCTGTTTCAACTTTCTCATTATCTACTTTGCAGATGATTTTTTGACAGAAACCTCATATTATGGGTCTCCAATACTGAACAAGTGGATAATTCTTGCTCCTAAACAGTAAATTATTTTCTCAAATATGTAGTGTAGTAAGAATCTGTTTTGTGTGTTTTTGATACAGAAAATGTGGTTTTCAACAATCTGTCAAGTGTGCCAAAAAAATTGAATTTCATATATCGTGATCGATCTGGCTGATGTTGTAGCCTGAAATTCAAGATGGATATTTTAATTTTGGGAGATATTTTACATGAAGCCCCAACAACATTTTTGAGTAAATTTTCTTCAGCCACCTCCACCAAGTATATTCTTGAAAATAAAAATATTATGTTGTTAATGAAATTTATTCCAAAAATTGTACCTTTAAAAAATGTCATGTAAATATTTTTAAAATATAAAGAATTTCCACATAATTTTGAGCGAAAAGCAGGTAACTAAAACAATATGTAAAGAAAGTTTTCTCAAAAACGCCTTCAAACTTTTCACTTTGTTATGTAGGCAACCGGCTTCGGTGGCTCAGGGCATCAATGACTGTTACTACAGTGCTTCTGACCTCCTAGGATTCGAGTACCAACGGTGCAGGATTAGCTACACAGGTAGGTCGAATTCAGCTGCTGTTTGGAGAATAATTCTAGCGGCCGGCTGCTGATTGGTAGTTTTTCGTGGCTTCTCCGTGCAACACCAGGCGAATGCCGGAGTTGTACCCTTACACGGTCCGTGCACGGTCTTTCCTTTCTCTTTCTTGTCTTCGCATGCACTACACTACAACACATGTCGGGAGCATAGAGCTTGTCCCAGCTGGGTTGGGGCGCCTGTTGGGAGATACCTGGTTAGGAAAAAACCCGCAAGCTGACGTGTAAGTCCGCCCCGGATCTTGCCATCTAAAAGGAAAGATCACTGCCACCCCCGCAATGAAACGTGCTACACGTATGGAACTTACATTGGGAAGCATTTTAAGAGCATTTTATTGATCATTTTTGGCATTGTTGGAGGTCATCAACATCCTCCTCTGTACATAATAATAAAATAAAACCTACCTAGCTTATTGCGAGATGGGCTTTCTTGTAACTCCTTTCGGCTGAACTAGAGGCGCTAAGGGCATTTTATTTGCATTCTCACTGTCACCAGATACCATCACCTTAGCTACCTTTCCTATAAAATGAGTGGATTTTTACGCTGCTAGTTTACGAGAGATGTTTCTGGAGACTGACCGGGAACTGCAGCTGACATAGGTACCCTTAAATCGGCAATCTTAAGATATATCCAGTTTCCAAATCGTACCAAACTAAAGGATACATGTAGTCCAACAATCCTAATCGTTACTACACCAAAAGGATGTAGAGCCAGAAACGTATAAAAATTAAATCAGTAACACACACATAGTAAGACGGTGAAAACGGGAACGTCCACATTGCAAGGTGAGAAGGTAAGGAGCACTGCAAGTTGAGCCGTTGCGTTTCGAGCGAGGTTCAAGTTTTCTGTTGGCCGTGGAGTGTCGGACTGGGCGAGGACTAGGGAAACAAAAGTTTTCTTACAAATGCATGCCGGTGAAAAAACAATCAAACACAACCACAACGACAAACGGTACATATGCTTATTTCTCGCGTCATTTCGAAATATGCAATTTTTGAAAATTCAGAGAGTTCAGTAAAAGTGAGATCTGTGAAATCCTTGTTCTATACGTAAAGAAAATAGGCACTATAACTTCATAGCACTAATAAACTTCAAGCAAAAATTACACAAAAACTACTCATTAACAAAAAATACATGACCTTTTTTAAAGAGCTGATTTTTTAGAATAGATTTTGTTTCAAGTGAAACTCTCTCGGCATCTTCAACTTTGTAGTTTTGAAATGTTAAACTTTTCCAAAAGACAGAAAGAAAGAGTTTGCTGGAAATGAGACTAAGCACCATATTTGTGGGTGTTTCAATCTGGCACAACCACTGTAGCACAATCACATGAAATCAAATTGAATATTTATGTGGTACTCCAAAATGAAATTTCTTGCTCTTGCCGTTTATTAAATAAATATTGTGAAAATATTAGTAATTTAATTAATTTACTAGTGTTATAGTTAGTTATTTACCAACACTGTATTGGTGTTCTATGACTTACTCATAAACAAGTTGAAACCTGAATACAGATGCATATAAGCATTTTGCCAAGAATTGATAAAAAAAATATTTGCCAAGCGAATTGCACATAGTTTTGACAACGCTATGCTGGTATAACATTTCGTTGCTCGCTTTTATATAATTTGCCGCGAGTACTGTAACAGTCAAATTTATTCCGGTTGTTTCGTTTGTGAAAGTAAGAAATTATTGGTGCCTCTGAGTATAAAAATAATGCAGTTATGCATCATTGCATTGGACGTTTTGGACGTTTTCAAGTAATAGGTGAGGTGTTAGTAACCAGAGAGTATATATATAGTAACGCAGAAAATGCAATATTGCAATATTAGTAGCTGTTTCCAATAATGCGACAAGTTTGCTGTTGTAGGAGCACTAGTTTTTTCTCTTTCTTTTCAAAGCGTGTGTTCGTGTGGCTATGAACTAGCGCCTAAATTAGTGGTACGATTTCACGAAACGAAAAAAAAAATTCAATAAAGATGGGTTGTAGCAGAAACCTATAAAGTGGAGCACGAGCTTGACGCGTTAACTCCAATGATCAGAGTGCGCGGAGAAAAGAAATTGCTGTTTTTCAGATTTGTAGTAGTATTTTCGTATATTGTAGTAGCATTTGTAGTAGTGATTTTCAGTAGCATAATATTGAGAAAGTCTTATAAAGAATGCGAGAACGTATGCGCTATTAGCACTACTAATTTTCTTTTCCGCTAACAAACATTTTACAAGCGTTAAATCACCCCCCCCCTCCCCCAAAGCGGAAAGTAAAGAGCTGGTCATACTTTTTCGCGTAGAAAAATACGTTTTTTAAACAAATGTATGGGACTAGAAATAAACAGTGTGTCTTTTCTACCCGTTGTGTAAACAAACTATTCCCAAATATAAAACGGATTTTAAAAATGCTTCCTAAGCAACCAAATACAAAAATAAAGATCCTAAAAAATAATAAGTTCTATACTTTTCTTGAAAACAGAACCGACATTTTTCGAGAAACTTGGGAGATCACTATCGCTTAAGTCATACAGAGATTTTCTTCAAGAAATACATAGTTTTAGGTAGTACTAATTTTTAATGCAAAATATGTATTAAATATTTAAGTAAAAAATTAAGCAACACCAGTTGAAGAATAAGCTTTTCATATAAGAATGTCATGACCAAATGAAACAACCCTGCCATTCGGTCGCTCCGTAGATTCTGCGGCTCTTCCGCGCTATACGGCTGTTGCAGCAGAAGTGGTAGAAATCGATGAACTTTTGAATTTATTGGTGATACGATTGGTCTTTTATGTTGTCGGTCGTTTTCTATATCAGGAACCACCTGAAGGCGTATTTTTGTTATTGTCGAAATAGTTTTTTTGTATTACAAACTTTCACTACACTCGATATAAGAAACAGCAGATAGGCGCAAAGGGTGCGAATTGACTTGGATGTCCCCAGCTGACAAAGTAGTATGTATTACTCGGGCAACTTTTCTTGAACGATGGATAGACGATTTCAGGTGGAGTGGGGGTATTAGTTACAAAGTCAGCCACTAGAGTATTTTAAGTAATGCCAACGTGTGTGAAATGAAAGTCAAAACTGCATCTTGTGCGTGACTTTTTCGGGAGTTTTAGGTGACTCCCTTGAAGGACCTGGACCAGACTCAGCTGACTCACTCTCATTTCTTTCGATATTGACAATAAATCTGAACAGGGGTTCTGCACTATGAAAGCTACTGGCTTTGACTAGCCTCTGTTTCGCGCCAACGAAGTTTTAATGCTTGGAAGGTTGTCATCAGTGCACGCTGCGAGCTTTTGCCTTCAACTGTTTGTTGCACAAGGGAGGGGGATCAAGGTCATCGTTCAAGAAAAGTTGCGCGAGTAATAGTATCGTATTCATTTCTCTTTACCAGTGACGCACTATTAATCCATATGCGGACCCGTGTTAAGTCACGGTAATAGGTTGTTGCTGGTTGATGCGAGAATGTCACTCAGTGATGAGAATTTTAGTTTGCTTTTTTGTGTGTGTGTGGGGGGGGAGGGATCGACGAAAGCAAGAATAGGGGGGCCCTAAAGCTGTTAACACGGCCCTGTCCATATGTGGATGCATAATTTTTTATTTCCTCACTGTAGGTAGTTAAAATCAAGGAAATGATACCAGGAGCGTTCTTAGGATTTTTTTTTCACTAGAGTCCCTGGATGCAGTATCTCGATACGAAGGAGGTTTTTGTTTCGTGCGTCAGATGATCGATTTGCCCCACTCCCTGTGGAGTTTACAGAGTTCTGAAAAAATTTTCCAATTCGTTATCTGCGAGAAAGTACAATTTCCTCCGTCTCTTTATTTTCGAATTTTCCCTCATCAGGAGGTATAATTGTACAGGCAGAGGCAGG